CCCCCCACCTCCTGCTCTCCAGGCTGGACACCCCCAGCTCCCTCAGCTGCTCCTTGGAAGTTCTCCAGACCCTTCCCCTTGTTCTCCAGCCCCTTCCCCTTGTTCTACAGCCCCTTCTCCTTCTTCTCCAGCCCTTTCCTCAGCTTCATTGCCCTTCTCTGGATGAGCTCCAGCCCCTGAATGTCTTTCTTGTCATGAGGGACAGAAGCTTCTGCTCCCCTCCCAACCTCCTTTCCTGCAATTTCAGCAGAATTTCCTCCCTCAGCTTTATCTCCCAGACCATTTTTTCCTGCCCTGGGGTCAGGATATGCCTGTCCTTGCTGTCCCTGAGGGGCCAGGGACCAGAAATGCATCCCAAGGAGAGGTGACAACCTTAGGGACCTGGCTGAACCAGGAGCAGTTCCCATTTCAGGAACTGGGCAGAGAACCTTTGTGTCCAACCCAGACTGGGCAGCACAGATTGTCTGAGTTTCTTTTATTTCAAAATGAGAAGTAGCCAAAAAGGGGAGAGGAAATCTCTTCCTCCTTCTCAGAAGAGGGGAGAAGCAGCTGCATGTCTGGAGAAGAGACACCATCCCTTGTTCTTGCTGCTTGGTGGAGTTGACCTTGACCTTTTCTGTCCTGCTGCTGAGAAGGGGACCTGCCTGACCTTTCTGAGCTGCTGCAAACTCCTCTTGGCAGTTTCATTTTTGCACCTCCAGGCTCTGCTTCTCTTTGAACCCCCTTCTCGGAAACGGGGAGCAACGTGGGTGACCTGGCAGTGCAAGGGGGACCTGGTGCCACCAGCTTGAGGAGCCCTCAGGGGGTGGGAAAGCAAAAGTCCTCTCGTGGGACCTCAGCCCAGGGCCTCAGAGTTTGTTCCAAAGAAAAAGGAGCCCCCCCTGATTCTTGAAATCTCCCAGCCCAAAATCAGAGACCTCTCAATGCTGGTTGGAAAGGTGGGGATGGAGTTTTTAACAGGGCCTGTGGGGAGAGGACAAGGGGTGATGGTTTGAAACCAAAAGAGGGGAGATTCAGACCAGATGGAAGGGAGAAATTGTTGGCTATGAAGTTGGGGAGACCTTGGAACAGGTTGCCCAGGGAAGCTGTGGCTGCTCCATCCCTGGGGGTGTTGAAGGGCAGGTTGGATGGGGCTTGGAGCAGCCTGGGCTGGTGGGAGGTGTCCCTGCCCATTTGGGACTGGACAATCTTGAAGGTCCCTCCAACCCAAACCAGGCCATGATTCTAAGACTTGACCTGCAGCTGAACTGAGCTGCTTAGGGTCTGGGCTTTGCAGACCAACCTGTGGCATCACACAGAGTCACAGAGACCTTCTGGTTGGAAAAGACCCTCAAGGTCCTCAAGTCCAACCATTCCCCTACCACCCTGTGTGGTCACAGCGGGGTGAGACTCTTCTTTTTGGCCAAGACTCTCCTTTATATACCAAGGTCCCTTCTCCAAGCCCTCCTTCTCCACCAGCCAACCCCCCCAAACCCATGCCCTCCTTGGACACCTTTCCTTCAGCTTGGCTTCTCTCCCCCCAGCACGTGCCACCCAAGGGACAGAGGAGACCAAAGCCGTGGGCAGCTCCGTCACCTTCCATCTCCAGAACCTGGATAGAAGACCAGCAGCCTGGAGCTTTCACAACGAACTCATAGTGACTGTGAAGCCTGGAGATCCTCCTGAAACCACCTTTTTTGATGACAGCTACAAGCCACGCTGGGTCTTCTCCAAGAATGGCAGCTCCCTCACCATCCTCCAGCTGAGGATGGACGATGCTGGGACCTACATGGCAAAGATCTCCGGGACAAAAACAGTCTCCTTCACCCTCCACGTCTACAGTAAGTGCTTTTTGGGGCTGGGTTGGGCTTCCTCATGCTTTGTGCTAAATTTGGGGGCTGGGGGTTTCCTGACATCCCCCCCATTTCCTCCCCCAGAGGAGCTGGTGGTACCGAGGGTGACCTGCTTGGCGCGGAACTGCTCGGCTGACGGTTGCAGGTACATCCTGAGCTGCTCGGCCTCCAGCTCTGGCTCTGGGAACATCTCCTACAGCTGGAGCTTGGGGGATGAGCTGTGGACAAATGAAGCCAGGGTGTTGGTGGAGGAGTCACCCCCGGGGGAACCATCACCCCTCATGTGCACGGCACGAAACCCCGTCAGCACCCGCAACGTCACCGTCCCCTCACCTGCCACCCTCTGCACAGGTAAGGGTGGGGGGGTGGGTGGTGGGGATGGGTTGTGTCCTCCTCCCACAGCTCCAGCTTTCCCCTCAAAGCCCCCTTGACCCACCCCCTGCAAAAGCAAAGGGACTCACCTCTCCCTCCTGTTCTCTCCCCTTACCAGAAAGCACAACCCACCCTCCCACCACTGGTGAGCTGCCAACCCCCCCCTGTCCATGTCCAGCCTTGCTTCTCAGTGTCTGAGTGTGTTTGAACCACCTCAAAATGTCCAGCTACCCTGGTCCTCCTTGCTGGGCAGCCTGAAGCCAACACATCCATCCCCTCCCCAAACTGCTCAAGGGGGTTTCCGGGCTCTCTGGGCATCCCTGCCCTGTCTTTGTCACCTGGGGTGTTTGGGAAGGGGAGGTGGGACTCCCCATTTCCAGCTTTTGCCTCTAAAAAAAATTGTCCCAGCTTGGGTTGGGAGCTCCTTCCCTGCCCCCCCCCCCTTGGTGAGGAACATCCCAAATCAACCAGGCCAACCTAGAGGCAGAACCAAGGATGGGCTGGAGGTGGGAACGTGGCTCTGTGTCCACCTGCTGCCCCCAGCCCACGGTGGGGAGGGGGTTTCCCTCTACAAAAGCCACCTGTGAGGTTTCCTGGAGCCCACAGGGACATTGGTGGGGACAGTTATGGCCATGGAGGGGTTGGGGGGGGGGTCAACCAGTGCTGCTCTGCCTGCCAAGCCACGTGTCCTCGTGCAGTTTGTTGTCTCCTCTCCATGTTGGGCCATGGGAGTGCGGAGCAAAGGTCCCTGAGAAGAGGGTGGGGGCAGAGACATGCCCAGTTCCCCCAGTTCTGACGCTGGGAAGGAGCAGATGAATTTTGGGAAGTCGTTTCTGGACCTTCTCCTCTTTTTCCAGGCAGCCCCTCGGGCCGGTGGGCTGGGCTGGTGGCTGCAGGGCTGGTGGGAGTCCTGGTGGTTCTAGCAGGGCTTGTGTTCTTCATCTCCTTGTGCTCCAAAGGTGAGGTGCTTCCCTGCCCCATCCATCCCCCCCAGGTGAGGGGACCCAAGAGGGGACACCCAACCAGCCCTGCTGCCCCACGGAGCTGTGGATGTGGCTTTGGTGGCTTCTGCTGATGGAACCTCCTGTCACTTCTCTCCCAGGCTGGAGGAGATTCCCTTGGTCTGCAGCTGAGACAACAAGCACAGGTGAGACCTTGGGGCTCCCCCAGGCATTTCCCTTCCTCCTCCTCCTTTCTCCTGGTGGCATCTAAGGTCAGGAGGGAAATCACTCACTGGTGTGGCTTGGTCTGGGTACCCCGGCTTGTGGGACCCCAACATCTCCCCATGTCCCCACCCTGCACCCACGGAGGAGAGAAGAGACAACCCCAGGTGACGTGGTGGTGGCTGAAGTCATCCTCTCCCCCAGTTCCTTGCTGGGAATCTTGGTGCCAGCCCACCAAGAAGGAGCTGGGAGCAGAGCCATGAGGCCACCAAAGCAAGAGGGACCTGGGGAAAAGAGAAGAGCTGGTGAGAAGAAACTGGGGAGGGGGGGACACAAGGAGTGTCCCAGGGCCAGGAACAGCCCTGAGCAGCTCCAGCAACTGCTGATGCAACTTCTGCCTGCACGTCCTGCCTGCTACTGCTGCCTGGTTTCCCTGGCTCATGGGAACAGAGGTTGGGAGAGGTGGGGAGGACAATGGTGGCCAGAGGGACTGGAGAATGTCCTTGGCATCTCACCTCATCTCTGCTGGGCTCAGGCTGCCAATCCAGGCGTGAAAACTGGTGGGAGAAGAGCCCACTGGACCATCAGAAGATACCCCCAGCTCCCATCTCCTCTCCCTGAATGCTCAGGACCATGTTGTGGTGGGACAGGATGGGCCCATCACTGCTACAGCTGAGCCCAAGTCCACCAAGGATCTCGTTGATGTTCATTCCGTGACATGAGTGTTGGATTCTTTCTGTGAGCAGAGAATAAAGTGACACAAACTGGGGAGTTCCTGCCTCGTGTTTTGCATCTGCAGGTGCCCAAGACACAACCAGGCCCACCAGCTCCTCCTGGTCAATAATTTAGATCCAGCTCTTCCATCAGGAGCTCCAGGCAAAGCTTCTCCTCAGAGATCTCCTCTCTGGGCTGTGCCTGTGGGGCAGCACTTCAAGGGAGAGGTCCTGGAGGTGTCACCCCAAAAATGGGATCAGGAAGGATTGAGATCCTCTCTCCACCCCTTCTTCTGTTCCATGAGCCAAAGAACCAGCTGATTCCCAACTCTTGCTGCAATGGTGGCCATGGATGAAGGAGAACCAGATGCAAGTCACCTCTGAGAGCAGCTGGAATCTTGGGTTTCAATTTAAAAAAAGGCAGATTGTTCACCAGAAAGTCCCTGAGATGTGACTGTCCTTGGAGCTGGAAGCAAGAGTCCTGCTCCCACAGCAGCCAGGAGGGATGGTAGGGTGAGAAGTGATGCTGATCTCCACCCAGAGCCACCACAAACACCTCCAGCACCTCCAAAAGGGCTGAGCCTGGTTTCCCTCCAGCCCAGGAACATCCTGGTGATCATCCAAGGAGATCCACCCCTCAGGAGCCTTCTCCTTTCCTCACCATCCACTTCTTTTCTCCTTGCAGAAGCTGGAGCAGATTACACCACAGTATATGCTGAAGTTGGTCCTTCCCAGCAGGTGAGTTCATGGATGGTCATCTCCGTCCTCCTGGCACGTGGCTGGAGCCAGGAGGTCCCTGCATGGGATGGGGATGGTCTGGAGGGGATGTGGTGGGGACAGGGAGGAAGAACAGCAACTGGACAACCCCAGGGTTTGTCCCTTAGTTCCTCCTGGGAAGATGAAGGGGAACATTGGCCCAAGAGCAGCTGGCACGGCCAAAGCCACCTGCCTGCAGGTCCTGGTTCCTCACCAGGTTCTCTGTCCCCAGGCCCACCACCAGCCTTGGTTTCTTTGAGATCCCTTCACCAGCCCCAAGACCTGGAAACCCTTTGGAAAACCCTTTTCTTTTTCTCCCAGGTGCAACTGCAGGATTTCCATTGTGCAGGGCAAGATGACACCAAGAAGAGACCAACTCCTGATGTGGAGACCTCCAGAACCATCTACTTCACCATCCAGGCTACAGCCCAGGTGAGCTGGTGCCCTTGGCCATCTCCTTGGTGGGTCTTCAGGGTGAGAAACACAACCCCTGGAGTGAGTGGCATGGACAGAGGGGACTTCACTGGACTTCTTGGGGGTCCAGAGCTTCAAACCAAGCTAGTGGGTCCCCTCTTGCCAATGGAGGGATTGTCTCCTACAAGCCCAAGTGAAGAGGAAGTGGCCCCAGGTTGCCCAGGGGAGGTTTGGATTGGATGTTAGAAGAAACTTCTTCACTCCAAGGGGAATTAAACCCTGGTCCAGGCTGCCCAGGGAGGTGGTGGAACCTCCATCCCTGGAGGGGTGTGAAAGCCTTGGAGATGTGGTGCTGAGGGACCTGGTTTAGCACCAGACCTGGTAGAGTTGGGTTCATGGTTGGACTTGGATGATCTTTTGGTCTTTTCCAACCAGAACCAACCTGTGACTCAGTGACTCTGTGACTTGCAGACAGATGGACAATGAGCTGCTGAAGCAGGACAAGAAGAACCTCCACTTGCTGGTCAGCTAACCAGAGCCCCAGCACAGCTCCAGCACCTCCATCCTGCCTGCTCTGAGCATGGTGCTCTGCCCAGCCCTGGCTCCACCACCCCCTGTCCCTCCCCATCACCGTGGCCTCCAACCTGCCACCCCAACACCCACCTGAGGACACCAGAGCCCCCTGAGCTCAGGCTCCCCTGGCCCAGAAGCTCTGCCCTTGCTTGGGTTGACATCTCCATGGGGTTTGGGCTCTTGCTTCTGACCAGACCAAGGACCATGGACCAGAACTGAGGTTGCAAGTCCAACCCTTCCCAGTGCAGGGACAATCCTCCTGGGGTTCATCCTCCTGGTGTGAAGGTCCAGGATGGGATTCACCCTCTTGATGTGAAGGACTAGGATGGGATTCACCCTCCTGGTGTGAAGGTCCAGGATGGGATTCACCCTCCTGGTGTGAAGGTCCAGGATGGGATTCACCCTCTTGGTGTGAAGGACCAGGATGGGATTCACCCTCCTGGTGTGAAGGACCAGGATGAGAGGACAGGAGAACCTGAGGAACCTCATCAAGCCCTTTTTTTCCCCTCATGTCTTTCTTTTCTTCCTAAACTTCCAAGCTCACCCCCCACTTTCACTGCTTCACTTGGGTGCTAAACCAAGAACTTCCCTTCTCCTGGGTCATCCAGGACCTTTCCAACCCCTCCAGCACCAGGCTCAGCACCATCTGTGCTGGGAAACCAGGAGGTTGTGGCCTCTCGAGACCCTGCAGGGGCTGTGGGAGGAGATGGGTTGGGTTGAGGGCAACCAGGAGTGGGGATGGGATGGTGGGACTGGTCCTGCTCTGCTCCTTCCTGGTTGTGAGTGGGGATTGATCCTGGGTGGAATATTGGTCTCCAGGGCCTGGTGGGTTCCCAGCAAAGATCTGGGGAGGAGGAGCCTGAGCCGTGTTGGGATGTGTGTCCTGCAACTGGGTCTGACTGGGAATTCCAGGGATGCTGTACAGTGTGGTGGTGGCTGCATCCCACTGGGATGTGTGTCCTGCAACGGGGTCTGACTGGGAATTCCATGAGTGCTGCACAGTGTCATAATGGCTGCATCTGGGTCTGACTGGGAATTCCAGTCAGGAATTCCAGGGCTGATGCAGTGGGTCTGACTGTGAATTCCAGGGCTGCTGCACAGCATCGTAATGGGCGCAACTGGATCTGCCTGGGAATTGCAGGCTCACTGCACAGCCATCAATCCCAGCAGGATTCCTGCCCTGCTTGGGAATTCCAGCCAGCAGGACCCAGGCCACATCCCCTTCCTCCCCAGTCCCTCCCACCCTCCCCCCCAGCTGAGCAGAACAGAACTTCCCTTCTCCTGGGTCATCCAGGACAGAGAGATGCCCAGGGGGCTGGGAAGTCTTTTCCCTCTGAGTCTCTTCCCTTGTTCTTTGTCTTGTCTGTGCAGGAGATTAAATAATTCAGGGCTGAAACCGGAGCTGCCTTTGATGTTCCAGGCACATCAGGGCCCTCCAGGAGCTCCTGGGATAGAACTGGCCCCTCCATCCCAGCTCAGCTTCTGGCTGCTTGTCCTTTGGGGTGAAACCAACCAGTTTTGGAGGAGTCAGGTCTTGGTTCTCTGCGTTTTTCTCAGCCTGGGTCAAGTTGGGTTTGGGAGCTCCTCAAGTTCCTGTTGATCCATGAGGAATGTTGACCCGGGTGGGGAGTGGGTTCTAGGCAGGGATTCATCATGTGGCACCAAATCTGTCCTTCTGTCTCCAGTCCTTGGTCTGGACAGGGTTGGTGGCACCAGGGAATGGTCCCAAGGGATGTGGGGAAGAGCTGGAGGACCCTCCTTTGCCTGCTGCGTGACCAAGCTCCATCCCTCCCCCAGGGGAAAGCCCCTCCAGTGACCCCCCAGCCAGCCAGGGATGGTTTCTGACCACTCATCACCCTCAGGAACAGGTTTGCAGGGGACATCAGGTTGGGTGGTGCCACCCCCAGGGACCTGCAGAGGTTGGAGAGGTGAGTCCATGTCAACCTCAACGTTGTTCGACGAGGCCAAGTGAAAGGTCCTGCGTGGAGATCAGAGCCAGGATGGGAGGGGAATGGATGGAGAGCAGCCCTGAGGAGAAGGACTTGGGGGTGTTGGGGAGAGGAGAAGCTGGACATGACACATCAAAGCTCATCATGGCCTTGGCTGTGTCACCAGCAGGGCCAGGGAGGGGATTGTCCCCTCTGCTCTGCTCTGCTGAGACCCCCTGCAGGGCTGGGAACAGCTCTGGGGTCCCCAACACAAGGAGGACATGGAGCTGTTGGAGAGAGTCCAGAGGAGGCCCCGGAGATGCTGGGAGGGCTGGAGCAGCTCTGGAGCCAGGCTGGGAGAGTTGGGGTGTTGAGCCTGGAGAGGAGAAGGCTCCAGGGAGACCTTAGAGCAGCTTCCAGGGCCTGAAGGGGCTCCAGGAAAGCTGGGGAGGGACTTGGGCCAAGGGCAGGGAGGGATGGGATGAGGGGGAGGGATGAAAAGTGGGAGAGGGAGCTGGAGGTTGGAGCTGAGGAGGGAATTGTGGAGTGTGAGGGTGGGGAGAGCCTGGGCCAGGTTGGCCAGGGAAGCTGTGGCTGCCCCATCCCTGGGGGGGTTGAAGGGCAGGTTGGATGGGGCTTGGAGCAGCCTGGGGTGCTGGGAGGTGTCCCTGCCCATGCAGGGGGGGTTGGATCCTGCTGATCTTGAAGTTCCCTCCAACCCAACCCCAATCCCATCATTCTAGGGTTCCATGATTCCATGATTCTATGACTCAGTTTGAGTGGCAACACCTCAGAGCTGGGAGGAGGCCCCTGGTGGGGCAGAAAGGGGAAGGAAGCCCTTGCCAAGGAGGGGGGGGGTTGGTGCTGAAGGGCTCGGGGAGGATGGGGAGGATGGGGACCAGAGGCGTGGTGACCTCCTGGCTCTGCATCGCTGCTCAGC